TTAGCCATGCTAAATGGGATGGCGGATGGAGGCAATCCGAAAGGCAAGGCCGCGGGGGCATTACCGGGCACGGAGGGGTGGCCGGGGCCACCCAGAGTCCCCCCCAGGCTCTGGGACGGAGGCTGCTGCCCGGGGAACGGCGGCGGGGCTGGGGGGAGAGGGAGGGAGAGAGGGGGGTGAGTGGTGAGACACACAGACAGAGGGACACACACACACACAGAGACAGACACACACGCAAACACATATAGACACAGAGACACACAGACACATATAGACACACAGACAGACACACAGACACACACAGACAGACACACAGACACACACAGAGACACACGGACAGAGACACAGACACACACAGACAGACAGACACACACACAAACACATATAGACACACACACAGACACACAGACAGACACAGAGACACACACAGACAGACACATATAGACACACACACAGACACACAGACAGACACAGAGACACACACAGACAAACACATATAGACACACACACAGACACACAGACAGACACAGAGACACACACAGACAAACACATATAGACACACACACAGACACACAGACAGACACAGAGACACACACAGACAAACACATATAGACACACACACAGACACACAGACAGACACAGAGACACACACAGACAAACACATATAGACACACACACAGACACACAGACACACAGACACATATAGACACACAGACACACACACAGAGACACACGGAGACACACACAACACATAGACACACACACAGACACAGATACACAGAGACACACTCAGACACACAGAGGCACACACACAGATACACAGACACACACAGACACATATAGACACACACAGAGACACTCAGACACACACAGATGCACACACACAGACACACAGACACACTCAGACACACAAACACATAGACACACACAGAGAGACACAGAGACACACTCAGAGACACACACAGACACACACATACACAAACACATAGACACACACACTCAGACACAGACAGATATACAGAGACACACACACAGACACATATAGACACACAGACACAGACACATATAGACACACAGACACACACAGAGACACAGAGACACAGACAGAATCACACACACAAACACATATAGACACACACAGACACAGACAGAGACACACAGACACACACACAGACACATATAGACACAGACAGAGACACACACACAGAGAGACACAGACAGACAAAATCACACACAAACACATATAGACACACAGACACACACAGAGACACACACAGACAGAATCACACACACAAACACATATAGACACACAGACACACTCAGACACACACAGAGACACACACAGATGCACAGACACACAGACACATATAGACACACAGACAGAGACACACAGACACATAGACACACAGAGACACACAGACACAGACACACTCAGACACACACACAGACACAGAGACACAATCACACGGCACTCACGGCCTCGCGCTCCCGGTCCATGATGGTCTCCAGCTCCTCGAAGTGCCGCAGTTTGATCTCCAGCTTCTTCATCTGCGTCTCCACCAGCAGAGCCACCAAGGACTTGATCTTACGCTCCTCCACGGCTGCCAAGTGCTGGGGAAAGGGACACAAACACACCAAAGTGGGGGGGTCAGCACCCCCATCCGGGCTGTACCCACTCCCCCCAATTCCCATTCCTGGTCCCGTTCCCTCAGACACACAGACACATAGACACACAGAGACACACAGACACAGACACACTCAGACACACACACAGACACAGAGACACAATCACACACACAGACACATATAGACACAGACAGACACACACAGAAACACACAGAGAGAGACACATACACAGACAGAATCACACACACAAACACATATAGACACACACAGAGACACACACAGACACAGACAGACACACAGAGACACACTCAGACACACACAGATGCACACACACAGAGACACACAGACAGAATCACACACACAAACATATAGACACACACAGACACATATAGACACACTCAGACACACACAGATGCACAGACACACACACATACATATGGACACACACAGACACACACAGATGCACAGACACACACACATACATATAGACACACACAGACACACACAGATGCACAGACACACACACATACATATAGACACACACAGACACACAGATGCACAGACACACACACACACATATAGACACACACAGAGAGACAGAATCACACACACAAACACGGCGGCGGCGGTGGAGAGGTTCCCCTCCCCGATGTCCCGCTCCACCTTGGCCTTGCGCTCGCCCTCGGGCTCCGGTGGCTCCTTGGGTGCCTCCTCCGGCCCTTCCTTCGCCTCCTTCTCCTTCTCGGGCTCCCCTGCGGCAGGGTGGGGGTCGTGTCAGTGACACACACAGAAACACACAGAGAGAGACACATACACAGACAGAATCACACACACAAACACATAAAGCCCAGACGGGTTCCTCCACTCACCTGCACCCTCGCCATCACCCTTCTCAGGCTCCTTCTCACCCTCTGCCTCCTTCCCCTTCTCCTCCTCCTTCTTGGGTGCCTCCCCGGGTTTCTCCTTCACCTCCTCCTCAGCGGTTCCATCCCGGGGCTCCTGGGGAGGGACCGGCCCCGTGGCCACTTGAGTCCCTGCACCCCAATCCCCAGACCCCCATGTCTCCTCCCCGGCCTCTACCTTCACCTCCTTCTTCTCCTCCACCGGCTGTGCCTCCGCCCGTGCCTCCTCCGCACCGCTCTCCTCTGGAGACACAAAAGCACCAGGGTGGGTTCAGTCCCTGCCACTGCTCACACAGCATCAAGGCTGTCTCTCCAGACAGACACACAGAGACACACTCAGACACACACAGATGCACACACACAGAGACACACAGACAGAATCACACACACAAACATATAGACACACACAGACACATATAGACACACTCAGACACACACAGATGCACAGACACACACACATACATATGGACACACACAGACACACACAGATGCACAGACACACACACATACATATAGACACACACAGACACACACAGATGCACAGACACACACACATACATATAGACACACACAGACACACAGATGCACAGACACACACACACACATATAGACACACACAGAGAGACAGAATCACACACACAAACACATACAGACACAGACACACACACAGATGCACAGAGACACACACACAAACCTCCCCACACACACAAACCTCCCCACACACACTCCCCAAACCCACCCAAACCCATCCACCCAAGGCTCCCCCAGCCCCCCCGGACACCCACCGTGCGGGACGGCCGGTGCACCCGGCGGCGGGGGCGGCTGCGGCGGGGGGGCCCCGGGCAGCGGTTGCCCCAC